ACATTGGTAAATAGAGACACCACATCAACACTGATCAGCTTGTCATTGGTGTTGAGCTTGAGGCTGCTGGTTTTTTCTATGAAGTGGGCTGTCCTTGATGTTGTGCGTAGTGAGCCCAATACAGGTTTGTAGCTGTGCAGCCAAAACTTTCGCCAAGTCGTATGCGGGTATCCAATGGCACTCACGATGGATCTGAGTGGGGTGGTGTCCTTATGGATGTTTGGGAGTCCATAAAGCCTCGGTGGGAGGGCTTCTGTTTTGCATAGTTGTTGGCAAATTCTACAGCACTGCTGGTCACAGCTGACCTCCAGCTGGAACCCTCAAGGGCCAGAGCTTCCCAATTCTCGGTGTCTGTGCCACAGTTCTTAAGGCTGGCTTTGAGCCCATCTTTCAATCTCTTTTCCTGTCCTCCAATGTTCTGTTTTCTGTTCTTGAGTTCAGAGTAGAGCAACTGCTTAGGGAGACGGTAGTCGGGCATCTCTGCTTCATTTGGTCCAGCGGAGTTGTTGGCGGAGGAGAATCACTTCATTGCTGGTGGTCTTTGCTTCTTCCACCACACTGACATTTGTCCCCAAGACATTTTTTGCTGGATTTTTGGGAGGCAGTGCTGATGGAATCATTCCAGGAGTTGCATGTGACGTCTGTAGAGAGTCCACATTTCACAGGCATAGAGCAGGGTTGGAAGGACAATGGCTTTATAAACAAGCACCTTGGTCTCCCTACGGATGTCCCAGTCCTCAAACACTCTCTGCTTTAATGGGAAAAATGCTGCACTTGCAGAGCTCGGGAGGTGTTATATTTCAGTAGTGTTAATGTTGACTTTTGTGGAGAGGTGGCTGTCAAGGGAGCGGGAATGGTCCACATCTTCTAACGTTACACCATTAATTAATAGATGATATACAAACGGCCAAAGTGTCTAAGGGACTTTGAGGTAAAAATAATGATGCTTTTGTAAACAAATGGCGGCTGGTCTTTGCCTATCTTGGAAAGAAGGCAAAAGTTGACCTTACGGATGCGTTTTCATTCACTGGACCAAATTTGGCACAAATACCTATTACGCCCAAATTTACTTACTTACTAGGCGATCCCTTGTAGCTCGAGGATGAGGGTCTTCCAGATGTGGTGTCTTGGCGGTGGGTCTGCAGATGGCTGTGGACCCCTAGTCTTGACCCACATGTTCTCCCAACTTGAGGACATCGCTTTCCAGGTGGCAATGATCTTCACTGCCCAAATTTGAATACTGGTGGGGTTGGGGGATTGACTTTGTCATTTGGGAGTTGTAGTTGCTGGGATTTATACTTCACCTTCAATCAAAGAGTATTCTGAACTCCAACAACGATGGAGTTCAACCAAATGTGGCACGCAGAACCCCAATGACCAACAGCAAATACTGGAAGGGTTTGGTAGGCATTGACCATGAGTTTTGGAGTTTTGGAGTTGTAGTTCACCTATATCCAGAGAGGACTGTGGACTCAGGCTATGATGGATCTGGACCAAACTTGGTACGCATACTCAGTATACCCAAATGTAAACACTGGCGGAGTTTGGGGAGAATAGAGCTTGGCATTTGGGAGTTGTAGTTACTGGGATTCACCTACAATCAAAGAGCACTCTGAACCCAGCCCACAATGGATCTGCACCAAACTTGGCACACTACCTACATAGAAGCATAGAATCATAGAATCAAAGGGTTGGAAGAGACCTCATGGGCCATCCAGTCCAACCCCCTGCCAAGAAGCAGGAATATTGCATTCAAATCACCCCTGACAGATGGCCATCCAGCCTCTGTTTAAAAGCTTCCAAAGAAGGAGCCTCCACCACACTCCGGGGCAGAGAGTTCCACTGCTGAACGGCTCTCACAGTCAGGAAGTTCTTCCTCATGTTCAGGTGGAATCTCCTCTCTTGTAGTTTGAAGCCATTGCTCCATTGCGTCCTAGTCTCCAGGGAAGCAGAAAACAAGCTTGCTCCCTCCTCCCTGTGGCTTCCTCTCAGATATTTATACATGGCTATCATATCTCCTCTCAGCCTTCTCTTCTTCAGGCTAAACATGCCCAGATCCTTAAGCCGCTCCTCATAGGGCTTGTTCTCCAGACCCTTGATCATTTTAGTCGCCCTCCTCTGGACACATTCCAGCTTGTCAATATCTCTCTTGAATTGTGGTGCCCAGAATTGGACACAATATTCCAGGTGTGGTCTAACCAAAGCAGAATAGAGGGGTAGCATTACTTCCCTAGATCTAGACACTATGCTCCTCTTGATGCAGGCCAAAATCCCATTGGCTTTTTTTGCGGCCACATCACATTCCTGGCTCATGTTTAACTTGTTGTCCACGAGGACTCCAAGATCTTTTTCACACGTACTGCTCTCAAGCCAGGCGTCCCCCATTCTGTATCTTTGCATTTCGTTTTTCCTGCCAAAGTGGAGTATCTTGCATTTGTCACTGTTGAACTTCATTTTGTTAGCTTTGGCCCATCTCTCTAATCTGTCAACATCGTTTTGAATTCTGCTCCTGTCCTCTGGAGTCTTGGCTATCCCTCCCAATTTGGTCCCGTCTGCACACTTGATGATCCTGCCTTCTAGCCCTTCATCTAAGTCATTAATAAAGATGTTGAACAGGACCGGGCCCAGGACGGAACCCTGCGGCACTCCACTTGTCACGTCTTTCCAAGATGAAGAGGAAGCATTGGTGAGCACCCTCTGGGTTCGTCCATTTAACCAATTACAGATCCACCTCACCATAGTTTTGCCTCGCCCACATTGGACTAGTTTCCTTGCCAGAAGGTCATGGGGGACCTTGTCAAAGAAGGGCTTCCTGGAATCCAGGTACGCTACATCCACGGCATCATTCCCCGCATCTACCCAGCTTGTAGCTCTATCGAAAAAAGAGATCAGATGAGTCTGGCATGACTTGTTTTTGATAAATCCATGTTGACTATTAGCAATGACCGCATTTGTTTCTAAGTGTTTGCAGACCACTTCCTTAACAATCTTTTCCAGAATCTTGCCTGGTATTGACGTGAGGCTGACCGGACGGTAGTATGCCTAGCAGTATCATTGGTTCCTACATGAATCAACATGAGGGGAGGACGGTGATAGGGCTTGAGGAGCCTGGTGAGCCTCTGAGTGATATGGTGTATTTTTGCCCCCGGTAGGCAGCATATTTCTCGAGCCATCCCATCCAGTCTGGAAATGACGGCTTCCGTTCCTCTAAGGAGGGAGTCGCCTACTACCAAGACCTGTTTACTTTCAGGATTGACAGGGCCCCTTTTTGTGTAGGTCCCCAGAAAAGTGATCCTGTTGGTGTGAATTGTATAGGTGTAAAGTGTTGTTCTCCTCCTCGACATCCCCAGTGCATTCATCAAGGACAATCCATTGAGATTCGTCCAAGAGCCTAGCGTTCTCCTGTATGTGTTCCTGTTGCACCTGGTTCTATGTTTCGGGATGGTACACCTGCATGATTGTGTAAATGTGAATGTTGTGAAGTGTTGTCCCAATCAGGGCTATCCCCCACACACTGATCAAGGACGAGCCACTGATCAGTATGTAAGCCATTCTGGTCTTCCCCAATATGTTATGTTTCTTGGTCAAGTGATAGCTGTGTGAGAATTTGGAATCTATTATGTAACTGCAGCTGAGCAGAAGTATTCTGAGGAGGCTTCCGGGTCCTATGTCTCTTTCTAAGGGTGACATTCCTCCAAGCCTGAGGGTTGTCCACATCTGAGGTGATCTCCTCTTGAGCCTCCCCATAATGTTGATGTGATATGGGCTGCGTGTCTACGACAGCATGCTGTGTGGTGTCTAAGAACGGCTCGAGTTCCTGAATGCCCTTAAGGGTCATAGTACGGTCCTTGAGTTGTCGGATCCTGTGTTCCATGTGAGTGATCTGTTTACACTTGGGGCAAATGTAATTGAGTAATTGTTGCATGAAAAAAGCTGAACATGCCACAGCTTGTGCATGGGACAGGAAGATTTTGTGTTTGTTCCATCTGGAGGTTGCTAATGACCTCCTCTTGGTGTGCGTTTTATGTTGTTGTTTGTATGCAGTGGGGAAAGTGTTGGTTAGTGAGTGTGAGTTCGCGCGCGCGACCCTGACTTATATATGGTAAACAGGAAGCAGAAGAATGGGCCACTAATTGCTAGCCTGCACTGTCTAAAAGAATATAGCCTCGCCCCGCCTCTCAAACAAAGCAACACTCAAAGCAACTAATTTTAAACACTTACTCAGATGTCTAGTGCCCTTTAAGACAAGGCTTATCCTGAAGCAGAAGGGAACAAAATGGCTTCTTGCTTCCTCAACTTCTGTGGGAGCACACATGGCCAACATTGAATACTGGTGGGGTTGGAGGCTGTTTTTGAATTCTGGAAGTTGTAGTTCACAAACCCCAAAAAGGAAGAGAAGGACAGGCGGAGAGATCTTCAAAAGGGTTCCTAAGACCGTGTTATATGATGGTCTTTGGTGACCCCTCTGAAAGCCCCCTTGCTGCCCCCAAGGGCCCTGCCCCTTAGGTTGGGAAACACTGCCTTATATGGACCTGCCTGGGCACTGAGATCTTCAGGAGAGGCCCTTCCCTTGGTCCAACTTCCATCTCAAACTTGGTTGGTGGGAATGAGAGAGAGGACCTTCTCGGTGTCTGCCCCTCAACTCTGGAAATCCCTCCTCAAGGAAGCCAAAATGCCCCCCTCCTTTCTGTTTTCCTTACTGCAGCAGGCTAAAAACTTTTTTATTCAGGCAGGCTTTTAAAGAAGAAGATTTTAAAGATCAGTTCAGGGGGTCTTGTGGTTTTTAACCTTGGGTATGTTTTAATGGTTTTGATCAGGGAATGTTTAAATACCGTTTATATTTAGTTCTGTTTTAATGTTTGCATATTTTATGTTTTAAATTGTATGCTGATGTTTTATGTTCAGCTGCTTTGAGTATCCATGAGGGGAGATAAAGCAGGCTATAAATCAATATAATAATAATAATAATAATAGTAATCTTTCACTTGTTTTGTAACCAGGTAAATGAGGAATCTTTGGAGCCACCTCTTGAATGCAGTAAAGAAACCAATAATATAGGAAGAAGAAATCCTCTCAAGGTGATGATCTTGCAGAATGCTTGACCTCACAGATAAGAAAGAAAAAAGGAGTCAAGTATCTGTATTGCAATAAACACCCTTATTACTGTTGATATGGCAGAGAAACCCTATACATGCCTGGAGTGTGGACAGAGCTTCACTCGGAGTGGAAATCTACGTTCACATCAAAAGACTCACACTGGGGAGAAACCCTATAAATGCCTGGAGTGTGGGAAGAGCTTCACTCAAAGTTCACATCTGCGATCACATCAGAAGACTCACACTGGGGAGAAACCCTTTAAATGCCTGGAGTGTGGACAGAGCTTCACTCAGAATGGAAGTCTGTATTCACATCAAAGGATTCACACTGGGGAGAAGCCCTTTAAATGTCTAGAGTGTGGAAAGAGCTTCACTCAGAAATCATATCTACGTTCACATCAAAAGACTCACACTGGGGAGAAACCATATATATGCCTGGAGTGTGGGAAGAGCTTCACTCAAAGTTCACATCTACGTTCACATCAAAGGACTCACACTGGAGAGAAACCCTTTAAATGCCTGGAGTGTGGCCAGAGTTTTACTCGAAGTTCATATCTACGTTCACATCAAAGGACTCACACTGGGGAGAAACCCTTTAAATGCCTGGAGTGTGGAACGAACTTCACTGAGAAGGGAAGTCTATGTAGACATGAAAGGACTCACACTGGGGAGAAACCCTATAAATGCCTGGAGTGTGGACAGAGCTTCACTCAGAATGGAAGTCTATGTTCACATCAAAGGATTCACACTGGGGAGAAACCCTTTAAATGCCTGGAGTGTGGACAGAGGTTTGCTACGGGTTCACAGCTACGTTCACATCAAAAGACACACACTGGGGAGAAGCCCTTTAAATGTCTAGAGTGTGGAAAGAGCTTCACTCAGAAATCACATCTACGTTCACATCAAAAGACTCACACTGGGGAGAAACCATATATATGCTTGGAGTGTGGGAAGAGCTTCACTCAAAGTTCACATCTACGTTCACATCAAAGGACTCACACTGGGGAGAAACCCTTTAAATGCCCGGAGTGTGGCCAGAGTTTTACTCAAAGTCCATATCTACGTTCACATCAAAAGACTCACACTGGGGAGAAACCATATATATGCCTGGAGTGTGGGAAGAGCTTCACTGAGAATGGACATCTACGTTCACATCAGCGGACTCACACTGGGGAGAAACCATATAATTGCCTGGAGTGTGGGAAGAGCTTCACTCAAAGTTCACATCTACGTTCACATCAAAAGACACACACTGGGGAGAAGCCCTTTAAATGCCTGGAGTGTGGACAGAGCTTCGCTGAGAATGGAGATCTACATACACATCAAAGAATTCACACTGGGGAGAAACCCTTTAAATGCCTGGAGTGTGGAAAGAGCTTCTCTCAGAATGCACACCTACGTAAACATCAGAGGACTCACACTGGGGAGAAACCTTATAATTGCCTGGAGTGTGGGAAGAGCTTCACTCAAAGTTCACATCTACGTTCACATCAAAAGACACACACTGGGGAGAAGCCCTTTAAATGCCTGGAGTGTGGACAGAGCTTCACTCAGAATGGAAGTCTACATACACATCAAAGAATTCACACTGGGGAGAAACCCTTTAAATGCCTGGAGTGTGGAAAGAGCTTCTCTCAGAATGGACATCTACGTAAACATCAGAGGACTCACACTGGGGAGAAACCTTATAATTGCTTAGAGTGTTGACAGTTCTTCACTCAGAATTCACACCTACGTTCACATCAAAGAATTCACACTGGGGAGAAACCCTATAAATTCCTGCAGTGTGGAAAGAGTTTCGCTCTGAGAGATATATAATATAATAATAAAACTTTATTTATAGACCGCCGTCTCTCCCCAAGGGGACAAAGGGTGGTTTACACACACCAAAAAAATCAAACATTTAATACCCTAAGATCTTTAAAATCATACAAAATAATAACACAAACTTATAACAAAAAAAATCAAAATAAAATCTGAGTAATCAAAATTATACTCATAACATAATAAACAATTAAGACATACACCCTGAGAAAACAATTAAAGTACAAATACATTGGGCTATACATGCCTGGAGTGTGGTCAGAGCTTCACTGAGACTGGAAATCTACACAGACATCAAAGGATTCATACTGGGTAGAAACCCTAGACATCCTTAGAGTATGTACAAAGTTTCATCTGCAGTTCAGGTCTATGTTCACATCAATGAACCCACACTGGGGAGAAACCCTATAAACTCAAGGCATGTGAAAGAGCTTCTCGGAGAGTTGAACTCTACATCGACATAGAATACACATTGGAGAGAACAGTGGTTTCTGGCCCCAGAGACACTCTCCCCAGAGACACTCTCTTTGTTGTGTCATACGGTATTTTTGTGTCAGTAAAATAATAATAGCCACTTCATTTTTGTTGCTATTATTCTTGTCTGTTTTGGTGCAATGTCTGTTGTTATTGTGTTGAGGCCTTGGCCTTTGTTAGCCGCAACGAGTCCTTCGGGAGATGCTAGCGGGGTACAAATAAAGTTTAATAATAATAATAATAATAATTTCGTAAATACAGTAATTACTATTTATTTATTTAAAGTATTTATATTCTGCCCTTCTCACCCTGAAGGGGACTCACAACGTTACTGTACATTGAATTTCTTTTTCTGTTGATTTGTTGTAAAACATGATGTTTTGGTGCTTAATTTGTAAAGTTGTAATGCAATCTCACGTTTAATAGGCTTTTCTTTTCTTTTCTTAAAATTGCTTTTATTTGGAATATGTTGCTCCTCAGATTGGAGCAGATAGGAAAGAGGATAAATATAAAATAAAAAGAGAACAAACAAAGAAACAAAACACTCTGATAGATTAACTGTGTTACATGGAAAGAGTGGGAACAATATTTTTATAGTATAGTGGAGTAAGAAGATAAGAGAAAGAGAAAAGGGGGTCTATTATCCCCAGTAACATTGGCTCTGGTTTGAATTCTAATTCTATTTTCAGTATTGTTTTGATCTCATTATAAACTTCATACCAAAATTTCTTAATCCTTTTACAATTCCACCACATATGAAAATAATTCCCTTTATGTTTTCTACATTTCCAGCAAGTATCCGTTGTTTTTCCTTTACTAAACTTTGCTATCTTTTCTGGAGTAAGGTATCATCTATAAAAGGCTTTATACCAGTTCTCTTTAAGTTCAGATGCATAAGTATATTTTATTTTCTTACACCAAATTTCTTCCCATTCAGTCATGGTTATGGGTCTACCTATGTCTTGTGACCATTTAATCAGGTTTCCTTTTACCTGCTCCATTTCGGTTGACCATATTAATAGCTGCTGGTATAGTTTTTTTATCAGTTTTGCTTCTGTTTTCATTATTTTATCCCAAAAGTTTCTTTCATCTGGAATCCTATTTTGACATCTATTTTATAGTTTTCTACTATTTGTTGGTATTGGAACCAGGATATAGTCTGATCTAATTGTTTTAATTCTTCTTGGGATTTTAATATTACCTCTTGTGTGTTTGACTTGAGTAACTGATTGTATGTTAGCCATTTTTCCCTTGGTAATTCTCTAAGATGCTGTGCTTCATTAGGTGAAAACCAAAGGGGTGTCTTATTGTATAATCTATCCTTATACCTACCCCAGACTTGTTGGAGGGCTGGTCTCGTCGGGTGATTTCTAAATCTCTTTTCCTTTTCTGCTTTTCCCCTCCATAAATAGCCATGCCAACCCTGTGCCATGTCAAAGCCCTCCAATGCTAATATCTTTCGTTTGTTTAGTGTTGACCAATCTCTTATCCAGCACAGGGCGGCAGCCTCGTAGTAAAGCTGCAAGTCAGGGAGGTTTAATCCTCCTCTTCTTTTATCGTACGTTAGATTCCTGTGATTTATCCTTTGTCTCTTGCCTTTCCAGATAAATTTGGAAATATCTTTCTGCCAGTTGCGGATTAGGGTTTTTGATCTTAATACTGGTAATGTCTGAAATAAAAAGAGGATGTCTGGTAATATACTCATTTTAACGGTGGCAATTCTGCCCAGCAGTGAGAGGTTTAAGTGTTCCCATAACTTCATTCTCCTCTTTATTTCTGTCCATTTTCTTTCATAATTATCCTTCGTCAGATGTGAGTTGTTTGATGCTATAATTATTCCTAAGTATTTGTTTTCTCAGTTATTTTTTATTCCTGAGAGTTCTTGTAGCCTTAATTTCCTTTCATTACAAATATTTTTTATTATTATTTGTGTCCTGTCTTTATTAATTTTAAAGCCCGCCACTTCACCAAATTCTTTTATCTCCGATAGCCATTTGTTTATATGTTGTAATGGATTTTCTATGAAGCAGACTATATTGTCTGCAAAAGCACAGGTTTTAAATGTATATATTTTTTTGTTTTTAGTCCTTCCAAGTCTCTGTTTATTGTTATTCTCCTTAGTAAGACTTCTAGTGTCAAAATGAAAAGTGTTGGGGACAGAGGGCATCCCTGCCTTGTACCTTTCTGAATGGGGATATTTTCTGACTGTTGTCCGTTTACTATTATTGTAGCTTGTTGTTGTGTGTATATAGATTTGATTGTGTTTAAGTATTGATAGCCTATATCCATTTCCATTAATAAGTCTAATATGAAGTTCCAGTTGACATTGTCAAATGCCTTCTCGGCATCCAAGAACATCAAGGCGGCTTCTTTTTTATTAGTTTTCTCGTAGTAATCAATGACATTAATCACGGTCCTTATATTGGCTCTCAATTGTCTCCCTGGAAGGAATCCAACTTGGTATTCTTCAATTCTTGTAATTAAGAGTTCTTTTAGTCTTGTTGCCAGTATTGCTGTAAATATTTTATAATCGGTGTTGAGTAGAGATATGGGCCTAAAGTTTTTTACTTTCGAACTGTCTGTATTCTCCTTGTGGATCAAGGAGATCATTGCTGATTTCCATGTGTCAGGTATTGTTCCTTCTTCCATTACCTTGTTTATGACTTTTTCGAGTTGAGGTGTTAGTATATCCTGGAATATTTTATAGTATCTGGTTGTGAAACCGTCTGGTCCTGGTGCTTTATCTGACGGTAGATTTTTAATGATCTTACTTATCTCTTCTTGGGAGATCATTTTGTTTAATCCTTTGTCTTTGTTCGTCTGTCAATCTCTGTATATTTTGTTTCGCTAGATATTCCATTATCTTTTCTCTGTGTATCTTTTCGTCTTCGTATAGTTTTCTATAGTAACTCACAAATTGATCAGTGATACCTTTTGTGTCGTAGAAACTCTTCTCATTATTATCTTATTTATCTGTTTAATAGGCTTTTCTTTAATCTCAGTGTTGTCCAAGATTTACGCATATCCAACATTCTGACGGCCCATTTAGGTTGCAAACGCAGGAGTCTCCTGTAGTAGAAAAAATAGAGTCTGAATAAGTTAATTGATAAGATGAAAAGAAAGAATACTCACTCTGCGAATTTGGATGCTCTTTATGTCACTTGGATTTTAGTAGTGTCCATTTTAATTACTGTCGTTGAATATTTGAATTTTTTTTATCTCATTAAGTTGGGTTTTGTCTTCCATAAGTGTTGTTTATGCTTTGATATTGTGCTATTACTAACATTGATATATCTTACTTGTTGTGATGGCACACCAGGAAGATCTAATGAGAAATCTAAATGTGTCTGGCTATTTTCCCAGTCACCATCGATATGCCCTAATTACTATAATTCCCCCAAAATAAAACTCTACAAACAAGATTAAGTTTAACAATTGTTTACTAAATAATTAAGGTGAATAACAACAATGAACAAAGGTGAGAATTGATTGTGATAATATAACTCTGAGGTAACAAATTACTATTTCTATGAGGTAAATATAACTATACACTATGGGGGATGTATGACTATAGACTATAGCATGTACAACTATGAAC